ATTAACAATCAATTGATGTGCGTTAGCGTTCATTTATTCTACTACATGCATATGCATGCATGAGAGGCCACGAGCATGATTTTTGTTCTCCAACATTCTTAATGTAATTCAAATTGCCGGCCTGCGAAGACGATGTACCCGGCCTTTCATTATTTCTGAGACATTTTTACCAAGTAGTGATGAGTATAAAAACCCCAGTATGTTTTCACTGAAGACGTCTGTAAAAGAATGCATGTCTTCTATGGATTTTATATAACATTGACTTGCTTAACTTGGAAGACTATTTGGTAATTACAACCCAATAAATATTTTTGCTCGGTTGCTCGGGTGCGATTGGTCTAAACGCATCACGTGCGTAATATACCTTAGCTAACATTGGGACTATTCGGTGAAATACCCCAAGTGATATTTCCGAATTGGAACCTTGCATCCATGTCGATAAAAGTTTTCATTAAAAATTTTATCTAATACGAGAGAGCGTTCAGCTGTTGTTACAGAATATAAGATGTTTGTTTGTTCATTAAATCGTGCCTAAGAACATCGAAAAGGGAACATTCTACGTAGTAGACAATAAATTGTTCGTTAATTAACATTTCACCCGCGCGTTACAAAAATATCTGGAGAATAATAGATACACTCGCTTCCATTTGTCACGAAAGTATGCTCGTAAATTTGTTGTAAGAAGTTATCTGCTCCTCGAAGCTAAGAGTTTTCCTCGGGCTTTGTGCACGAAAACTGTTCTCTTATCAGGACTGATCATGTCCGCGAACAAATATTCGCGCATAACTCCGCACCATATGCAGGCTCTTGTTTATTCATTGCGTTACTCTTTTTTTTTTTCTTTATCATTATTTACTAGAATCAGAATGGCTACATGATGAGTGAAAACTGCTTGTCATCCGAAGTATATGGAGAGTAGACGCTGATGCAATCGGTTGATACTTCGACGAGGGGTAGCGATGCAACAATAACTATGCCCTTGTTAACTTAAAAGACTAAATGTGATCTACTGAAATTCCGGGATTCTTCGAACATTGTTACAAAGTACTTACACCGGGGCTTGACTCCCCTTGAGGGGCGGGGGGCGGGGGGTTGCTTCCCAGGAATAGGCTAATGGGATGTGCCGCTGGATAGGGTCGTATTTTCACGACTGGACTGACTATGACAGGATTGCATTTTCATTTAAGTTACTCGAATAGAGACTCACATTTTCGGGGCTTCAGGAGTATGAAAATTCCGGAAATAAGGAATTTTCGGTCTGAAATGGGTTTATAGTTTGTCACAAAAAATAGTCTATGATGGGGTAAGGGCTCCGAGAGGCCGGCGACACAACAGAAAAAAACTAACCCGAGTTCCCCACTTGATTTACCCCGCGCCACCAGTATAAGTCCTCATTCATATGGTCTCGGGTACCCGAGGGAGGGTAGGGAGGGTTGTCTCGGGTACCCGAGGGAGGGTAGGGAGGGTTGTCTCGGGTACCCGAGACAACTCTCCCTACTAGGCCTAGCCACAAGTTGCCGATGAATCCCAAAAAAGTTGCCGATAAAAGTGTCTAAAAGTTGCCAAAAAGTTGCCGAAAAGTTGCTGAATTTCCAAAAAGTTGCCGAAAAGTTGCCAAAATGTTTCTGCTTTTTGTACCTTTTTTGGGTGCTAAAGATTAAAAATTCGCACATTGCTTTTTATCAAAACTTTATTTGTCAAAGTCCAAAGATAATATCAGAGGTTCTTTCCATTTCACTTGATCAACAAATAGTCACTATAATTGTCCGCCATCTTGAAAAACGTGCAACGTGATACCGCTGACCTCGTGAAAAGTCATCACAAAAATCAACCCATGGGAGGGGGGCTAATTATTGTATTTTAGAATAAATTGAATAAATGTCTATCGAAAACTGACTAATGTGGCTCAAAACGTGAAGAAAGTGGCTTCAAAGAACCTCAGAAAGCCCAGAGTTGCCGAAAATTCTAAAAGTTGCCAAAATTCTAAAAAGTTGCTGAAAATCTCAAAATTTGCCGAAAAGTTACCGAGTAACTTGTGGCTAAGCCTACTCCTCACAAGACAACTCTACTGAACGTTTACATGAAATTTGTCATCTGCTAACCCTCGTTCAGCCAGACCAGGTTATATATCCGACAGAGTGCGAACGATTGGAAAAGAATAGCTGCAATACGCACGTGCTCTGGTCATAGCGTGCGCACGCATTTCCTGTTCGAGTTGTCTCGTCTCGGGTGGGCGAGACAAGGTGTTTACATGAAAAAAAGTTGTCCCGCCTGCCAGGGTTCTCTACCTACCA